CTGCCCCCCTCCCAAACCTTTTTCATTATGGTCAAATACGTATAATATTTATTTTAACTTTATTAAGCATACATCCAGCAGCACTAAGTACAGTCACACTGTCATGCCACAGTCACCACCATTGTTCTCTAAAAAAAATTTTTTCCCTCTTCCCTGACACACACCTTTCTGCTTCCTGTCTCCATGAATTTGACTACTTAGGGACCTCAGATAAGTAGACTTCTACAGTGTTTGTCCTTTGTGGCTGGCTTGTTTCACTGAGCAGAATGTCCTTGAGGTTCATCTGTCTACAGTGCAGCAGGTGACAGGATATCCTTCTTTTTAAAGGATGGGTAACATTCCATTGTGTGGGTAGACCCTTTTTTTAATCCGTTCATCATTACTGGACATGGGTTATGTCCACCTTTTGGCTGTTTTGAATGGGACAACTGTACAAGTATTTGAACACCAGCTTTCATTTCTTTGGGGCATGCACATAGGGGTGGGATTGCTGGTCAGACCAGGGTTAGTGTGATGTGTGTAAGAGGAAGACCAGACCCAGAGGAGCTGGAACCTTCTCGAGGGGTGTTGTAGACTTATTGGGTCTTGCTCTGATTGCAGATTTTGTCCCTAAGACCCAGGCTGTGACCATGACTGGCCACAAGCACAGTTCAGAAAGGGAGCTCATGCCAGTGGCTTCCAGAGAGCCACATCTGACCCCCATTTCTCCTGATGCATCCTTATTTGGGCTAGACGAACTGTTTCTACAGCAGCTGAGGCTGCCTATCAACGTAAACTCCAGACAGGTGGTCATGCAGGAAGAGTCTAGATAAAGCCAGTGGTCCACAGTGCCTGAGTCTGTGGAGGACAGAGTTGGAGAGGCTCTGGCCATGGCTGCCTCAAGTGTTATCCAGGTGAGCAGATTCAGATGAAAACTGCCCTCTAGAACCTGAAAGGGTCCGGGCAGCAGCCCACTTCTTTTTTTTTTTTTTTTTTTGAGAGGTTTTCGCTATAGGGCACATGCACTTGCCAGACAGACAGAGAGAGACAGAGAGATAGAAAGCGAGAAATCACTCCCCAGGGGGGATGGCCATGCCACAATCCCTTCTCCTCCATTCTCCTCTCAGGATCTTGGGCACGCACGCACACATGCCCGGCGTGAGTTTTAAGCCACCAGGTCCGGGACTCGAACCGCGGTCGACTACATGGGAGTCCAGCGACATAGCCATTACACTAACTGCTGATCCAGCAGCCCACTTCTCTATACTTTTGCGAAGCCACCTTCATGCAAGACCCATTGCACTAAGGCAGAGAGCAGAAGACAGGTCACCCTTGGTATGAGTGTGGGTGTGGACATCTGATTCAGGGCAACCTCTCCATAGAGCAACAGTAGAAGGATATGGCTCCACTGTGCCGGGAAGCCAGACTAACTGGGGTCACGTAGCCGGGGCATGCCACATGGCCAAAAACAGGACCAAAATACACCGGGGACACAGGTTGCAATGTGAGTGACAGAAGGCATTCACCAATACAATAGGCTGCCTCATGAAGTGATGAGCTCCGCACCATTGAAAGGAATCAAGATCCCTCCAACTCCACATTCTCGTGCTTTGCCGTTGAGACAAAGGCCTTTGTTCTGTGTGTGTGTTGAGCACCTTCGCTGTGCCAGGAACTGGGACCACAGAGAGGAAGAACATCTGGGCCAAACTGAGGTCAGCCGATAGCTTCTGAGCAAATGGTAAAAAGTTTTTGCCTTGACCAAAATCAAGAGTCTACTCTGAGCCTCCCATGGTGAAGGATCAGACAAGCTGTGAGCCTCACATGGCCCAGGATTTTAATAA